TGTTCAGGTCAAAAACCTTGGAATCACCCTTGACTCCTCTTTATCCCACATCCCACATCCAATTCATCAAATATATCTTTCGGCTGTATCAAAAATACCCTGAACTTGAGCACATCTCATAATTCCATTGCTAGTATACTAACTCAGGCCAATATCATCGCTAATTTCAATTTTTCCCATAGCCTAGACCTCCTGTTCCCACCTCCTCTCCCCTCTATTGTCTATTCTCAATGCAACAATCATAGTTAAGACATCAGCTGGGGATGTAGCTCAGCAGCACAGCACCTGCCTGGCAAGTGTGAGGTTGTGAGTTCAATTCCCAGTACCAAAAAAAGGAAAGATTAATAATAACATGTCACTCTTCTGCCCCTAAACTCCAAGGGCTTCTCAACTCTTTTTCAATACAGACCAAACTTTTACAATGGCCCATGTCTTCAGAGTTTAGCACCTCCTACCTCCCTCTGCCCTCACCTTCTACTACTCCCTCCGTTGGGCATATCCCTTCAGGAAAACTGGGGCCTTAAAACTGCTCCTACCAGGCACAAACTTACCTCAGGGTTTTGTAATTAATCTCTCCTGTGCCTAGAATACTATTCTTCCTGTCTAGAATGTCCTTCTCCAATGCTTAGAATAGTGCCTACCATGGAGTGAGCACTAATATATGTGAATAAATGAATCTGGAGATACATTTACTATGAACTGGAAATAGTTTGCCTCCCAAGGACGCAAGGGCTGGAAGCTTGGTTTTCAGCATAGAAATGGTGGGAGGTTAAGCCAGGTGTGGTGGCAAACCCCTGTAATCCCAGCACTCGGGAGGCTGAGGCAAGAGGATTGTTGCAAGTTTGAGACCAGCCTGGGGTACAAAATAAGCTCAAGGCCAGCCTGAACTGCATGGCGAGACCCTATCTCAAAAAGACAAAAAAAAAAAAAAAAAAAAAGAAGTGTTGGGAGGTGGTAGAACCTGTAAGGCAGAGCTTAGCAGGAGGTAATGAGGTTGTCTGGGGCACTGCCCTCAGAAGGGCTTAATTCATAGAGCGGTTGTTACAAAAGAGCAAGACTGGCCTCCACGCAGCTCTCTGGCATCCCGTCCTCTCCCATAATCTCTCCCCATCACACATGCTCCTTACGTACATTCTCACACAAGTGATGGCAGCAAGGCCGACCCTTGGCAGAGCCAGTGCCATGCTGCGATGGCTTTTGGACAGCAACACTATGAAAACGAGCCACTGTTCCATGTAAGTATGCAACCTCAGATTTTCTTGTTAATGGCAATAAAAAATGGACTAATACAAAATTACACAGTCAATATATTTTCATTTATTTTAACCCATGAACATTTTCACACATTGTACTACAAGTCCATAATTTTTAAGGGCTGATAATATCCCACTTTATACATATTTGGAAATGAAAAACTGAGATATTTACAAATGAGATACTTTGGCTACTTCCTCTTTGGTCTTTCTGAACTCCAGTAGTTTCACTTTTAAAAATGAAAATATCTTCTTCCCAGGACTGTTGTAAAGACTTACTGTGAAATATAAATAAAAACCCATCTGTTTTGTTGCTTAGAATACAAAAGCATCATGATGTCAACAAAAGATCATAGATCTTGGAAACAACATATTACAATGTGACTCACAATACTGTCCCTTACTAGCTTAATCAAGACAATCTCTATGAACCTCAATTAAATTATTATTAAACCTCAATTAAATTATTTAAAAAGGGGGATGCAATAATTCAAAACAAGTATGTCAGGCTGGGAGCGTAGCTCAGCGGTAGAGTCCTTGCTTAGCAGGCATGGGGCTCTGTTTCAATCCCCATCAGTAAAAAAATGAACAAAGCAAATGTGTCAAAGTTTAGCATAAAATTTGATCCACAATGCATAATCAATAAATATTCATTCATCACTAGTAAACAAAAATGAATATCTTTAATATTGTGAGCCATTGCTAGGTATATTGGTACATGCCTGTAACTCAGCACTCAGGAGGCTAAGGGACGAAGATTACTGTAAATTCAAGGCAAGCCTGGATTACATAGCAAGTTTAAGGCCAGCCTAGTCAACATAGTGACTCAAAAAAAAAAAAAAAATTGTGAGCCACATAGATTTTTATATTCTATCACATACATATTTCTTAAATACATAATAAAAATTATCAATGTAGAATTTTATTTTTGATAACCAATTACCTAACACTTAACAAAACAATATTTTATCAAAATCTCTACATTGTGTTTGTTACAGTAATATTAGGCACAATCATTTTTTATTGGTTGAATAAATAAGTCCTTTTTATTATGTGCTTTAATGTGTAATATACATCAGGTGGTAAACTATTATGATGCTAATTTAGCAAAAAAATTCAATATTTAAAAAATTCAAATTTAGCAAAAAAAAAAAAAAAAAATTCAATAGCCTTGCCTCACTGGAGTTATTTTTAAAAGCAATCTGTAATAGCCACATATATGCTAAGAAATTAGAATTTTTTCATGCTTTTCCATGTTTTTCAGAGACAAGTTTGAGTTCATACAATTGAAATAGCAAACAGGTACAACACGAGGTCCTTCAGGATGTAATTATCTCTGTCTCCCCAGGGCCTAGTCCAGTGCCTGACACACTGGAAAAGCACTGAGTAGGTGGGTGAGTGGGAAGTGACTGAATAAGAACAGTGTCATTAGTGCTGGCTCTCCTCCTGGGCATTCCAGCGCCACTAGTTTTCCAGCCTCACCCTGTGGCCAGGTGCACTCATTTAACCAGCTGTAGTCAACGAATCTTGAGACAGGGTGTGTGTCATTACCAGGTTGGACATTTATGATAGACCTTCCATGTTCTTCACCTACTGCTGAAGTTGCCGTTCAGCTTGTGTTGAGAGCAAATGCATAAAGCCATTATCCATTCCAATGGAAATACAGTAAGACCCAGTATTTTGCTCAGGTTAAGTCAGTAAAATTTTGGAGTTTTATATATAGCAGCATAATCAAACCTCCTCTGATTAGTACCATAAACAAAATAATGACACTCAATTTATAACTAGAAACTCATTTATACTTTATTTTCAGAGGGAAAAAGTATACATAAGCAGTAGAGATTCGGCATACAACTTCTCTGTATGACAGTATCCTTTCCCATAAAGTGGGATAATAATAGCACCTACCTCATAGAACTGTTATAGAGATTTAAAAAGTGAATGTCTATTAAGTACTTAGCCTAGCACGTAGGGCATATAAAGCTTCCCACAAGGAGTGGCAGATTATTAACACTACTAATGTATGACACACTTAAGTGCTACATATTTCTACTCTCACTCCTTTATTGTAATTTATGGTCAACTTCTTCAATTCAAATTTTCTTTATTAAGAACTGCCATGTAAAGCCAGGTATGATGGTACACATCTATAAGCTCAGTGTTAGGGAGGGGGAGGCAGAAGGATCATGAGGTCAAGGCCAGCCTGGGCTACATAGTAAAACCCTGTCTGACCAACCAAGAGAGAGACAGAGACAGAGAGACAAAGAGACAGAGAAGACAGAGAGAGACAAAGAGAGACAGAGACAGACAGAATCAGACAGAGAAAGAGGAAAGACAAGAAAGGGAAAGAAGGGGAGTGAAAGAGAAATGGAGGGACAGAGCTTGAGCGACCATGTAAAAGGCAGCATGTAAAGCACTAGAAATAAAGACAAAACACATATAGTCAAGGTCTTTTCTTTACCTACAGTTCTTTCTTCTCCAACCTACCCATAACCAAGCAAACTTTAAAATCATAAATACAATGTTCCATGTCATATTTTGCCAGTTGGACAGGTGAATAATTTTCAACTGAAAAACATTCTATATGATATAAGTATGTATTTGGTGGGGGGGGGGGTAACCAGGAATCAAACTCATGACCTCGCTCTTGCCAGGCAGGCACTGTGCCAATGAGCTATATCCCCAGCTATGATTATGTATTTTATTCAAAGTCAGTATAGAAAAAATTGCTTAGGTCTAATTCTCCAAGGGAAGTTAATGCTAGGGCAAAGTGAGCAGCATTATAGTTGTATCAGAGAACAACGGATCCAAATCTCTTCTGTTTTAAGTGATACAATAAAATCTAGAGAGCTAAACAACTTGCCCAAAATGCTATAAAGCATAAAATTCATGCAATGTGCTGACAGAACACCAGTGAAAAACAAGATAATGAAAAGAATGAAATTAATTTTTACTTGAAATTACTGTTGAGGGAGGTTGAGACAGAGCTAGCCTCAAACTCACAGTGATCTTCCTGCCTCAGCCTCCCAAGTGCTAGGATTACAGGCCTGCACCACCACATCCACCTTGAAATTAGATTTTAGCATTAGCTAGAAAAATGTTAAAAACTTAGCTATCAAAAAGACAGGTTTAGATTTAGTACTGTTATCAACAAGAGAAGCTAATTCCAAACTCCTTATTTTCCTTCTGCATTTTACTAAAACTCAAAATAGCATAAAATAGAAATAGTTTGATATGCTTTTTTATGTATCAGTCTATATGAAAGGAAATTATCTCAAGCAAGGAAAGAAGTTAATTCCTATGTCACTAAAACGTATCCCCTCAGAAAGTCACGCATGTATTATGTAACAGGAAGAAATTCATACAGATTTTCATATTTTTCAGAATAACTATTTTAGCTATAAGGAACACTTTAAATATCTTATTCTGAGTGGAAAGGGGGTAAATTAAAGCATTAAGGAACTGCAAGATAGAATTAAATATCTACCAGTTATTGTTTATAAGTTGTATGAATTTTGCCAAATAAGCACTTGACACATACTATCTTATTTCACAAAAAACTTGCAAGACGGGTAAGTGTAACCGGCCCCATCTTGCTGATTACAAAAATAAGAGACTGCCTCAGAGTAACTTCTCAAGTTACTCAGGTAGTGGCAAAACCAGAATTCATTCTCAAACCTCTTTGTCTCTATTTTTTTTAATTTTTTCAAACCTCTTTATCTCTAAAGGCAATTTTTTGTTGTTGTTTTTTGAGACAGAATCTTGCTATGTAGTGAGGTCTGGCTTCAAATTTGTGACCCTCCCGTCTCAGCCTCCCAGAGGTGGTAAAATTCCAGTGCTGGAACTACAAGCAAGTACTGCCACACTGTTCTAGCCAGTGCTCTTAACTACTATAGTATTAAACTCTATCAAGTTCTACCCTCTCCATAATTTAGATCAAGGTTAAACCATCACAGCTGAGAGGCTACATAATCTCCAAGGCCCTTTCCAAAAAATAGGTGTATCACGAAACACAGAAATCTGTTCAAAATACACATATTTGTGGTGGTCTACTCCAGGCTTAAGGGGAAGACCATCAATAGAACCCAATAATGGGAAAGTGTTACAGTTTGGATTAGGAATGTCCCCCGAAGGCTCTTGTGTTGAAAGCTTGGTTCTCAACTCGTGGCACTACTGGAAAGTGGTGGAAACTTCAGCAGATTGGGCCTAACTGAAAGAAGAAGGTCACAGGAGCTAGGGATCCTACAGCTTGCTCTGCCTCCTGCCCAGCTGACACGATGTGAGCAGCTTTGCCCCATCACATGCTCCCCACCACGACATGCTGCCTCACCACAAACCCAGCCAACCACGGACTAAAGACCTCCAAAACTGTGAGTCAAAATAAATCTTTCCTCATTCTGTTTATCTCAAGTTTTTGGGTTTGTCTTTTGTTTTCTGGCTTCTTGAGACAGTGTCTCACTATGTATTTTAGGCTGGCCTTGAACTCACTATGTAATCCAGGCTGGCCTCTAACTCACAGCAGTCCTCCTGCCTCAGTCTGCTGTGTGCTGGGATTACAGGCAAGTGTCACCACACCCGGCTTGCCACAGTGATAGAAGGATAACTCAAAAGTAGTAAAAAATAGAGACAGGAAAAGTTCAGTGTGATCTGTGCCTCCCAGGGACCCAATACAGCTACACGTTAGCAGACATCAGGGCTACAGTGGCAAAAGTGCAAAGCAGAAACAAAAGCAGGAACTGAAAGCAGAACTGTACAGTGTGTGCATATATTGCAACAGCATAGCCCCCTCATGTGACTGCACCACCGCACCTAAGGAAGGCACTGTGGGGAAGCCCTGCAATGGTCAATAGTCATGATTAGTTCAGTGTTGAGCCAAGACAGACCTCTATAGAACTCTGATAAGCAGTTAAATAGGAATCGGGTGTAGATAGTTTCCAGAAGTGCGAGCATGGCAATTACCACTCCAGTTGATCTGAAACGCATAACCACTATGGAGAGCGACTTCAGAACAGAGTAGGGAGGAAACTAGTTTATCCTCTTAAGCTCTTTAAATTCCTTCCAGGTTCCAGGCACCTTGTATGTGCTTACAGGCACTGCCACATTTAACCCTGACCTCTTTGGTAGATGTGGTAGTTAATTTTATCTGTCAACTTGGCCAGGCTATGGAGCCAATATATGGTTAAACATAACTCTAGACGTTTCTATGAAGGTGTTTTTATGGATAAGATTAACAATTAAACTAGCAAACTCTGGGAAGACCTCAATTAGTCAGCTTAAACTTTAACAGAACCAATAATAAGACTTTCCTCAGCAAAAAACAACTTCTGCTTCGGCCAGCAGGCTGCCTGTGAATTCAAACTACAGCTCTTCCCTTGGTAGCCAGCCTGCCTACCCCACAACTTCTGCATTTATTAAGCCTCCATGACTTAGATTTACCAGTCTCTCAATCTCAAAATCAATCAATCTCTGTCTCTGTCTCTGTCTCTCTCTCTCTCTTTCAGAGAAAGACTGACTATTGGTTATGCTTCTCTAAAGAACCTGACCAGTATAGTACATATTACTCTAGGGGTTTTTTTTGTGGGGGAGGTTGCTGTTGTTCTTCTTGTGCTAGTTGAGTCACAGTCATACTATACTACCCCTGCTGACCTCAAATTTGCCTCAGCCTCCCAAGTTGCTACAATTATAAATGCACAAATCCCTGGTTGTTTGTTTCTACCACTTAGGATAATGCCAGCCTGACAGGCTCCATTCTTTTCCACATTACCCAGTAAGATTACCTCAGGAATCAGTCTAGTCTGTGGAACTGGTGTGGGAGAGGAAGGTTAGAAGCAGTGAACACTATAATCACAAGCTAGGCCTCCCTGGAAGCCCTTTATAGCACTGGCATCACACATGTACCCACAGCCTTGATGTGTCCAAGTGATGTGCACTTCCTTCCTCTGGTCTCCTGGTTCAGTTATTTCAGATTTAAAAAAAAAAAAAAGATATTCCTATGAAATGAACATTTGAAGACTGTGATTTGCTAAAGCACGGAAGAGTAAGAAATAAAACGTGATTTGTGTCACCCAGGTCTGCCTGTTTGCATGGTAGCCCATGCCTGTAATCCCAGAACTCTAGGAGACTGAGACAGGAGGACTGGAAGTTCAAACTCACTGTGCAATTTAGCAACACCCCGTTTCAGAATTTAAACAATAACAACAACAACAACAAAACCTGCAAAGGGCTAAGGAAGTGGCTCAGTGCAGAGGTCCTGGTAAAATCCCCCGTATCAGAAAAAAGAAAAAGGAAGTTTGCATCAATCAAATGATAGTAGCCTTTATTTTGTGCTGTTTAAACAGTCACTCATTCACTCCCATAATTATTATTATGAAAACAACAACTTTGTTTTATGCCTTCTATAGTACTTTCTGGTTTTTTTCTACAAAGGTTTGTTCTTAAATATACAAGGCTCTTAAATATACAAGGCTCACTTCATTCTAGCTACAGGGAGCAAAAGATGTTACAACAGTAAGTCAGAAGGTTAAACAGGACTGGACTCAAGGATCATCATGATCTCAGGCGTAAGGAAGAGCTTGTTATTTGGGGGAAGAGTTCTTAATTCTACCTGGAGCTGGCAGAATTAGACCTTTCCCAGCCTTTGTTTTTAATCTCAAATTTCATCTCCTCTTTTTGTTTCTGCTTGAAAGCCTTACTTCATTCATTCCTCAGCCTATTGCTTGGGCTGTGATAGGGGCTTCTTCCTGTCACCTTTTTGGCTGGACATGGTTCCTGCCTCCACTTCCCCAAGCCCTCCTCCTAAACTGGTCATGGAAAACTCTTATACTTTTCACAGCTTGTCTAAATACCAGAAACTGTCAGCTAGCTGGAGGGGCACATACAAACTAAGTGTGCAGGATTAAAAAAAATCAGCCAACTTGCCCGAAAGAGACCAAGGTTTCTATGCCATTTCCACTGGGTTAGAAAAATGAATTTAGTGAAAAAGAGAGATGGTATTCCAGACAGAATTTCTGAAACAGTAAAATTCACTGAATCTGTGTTTTATTTTGCTAAGTAAAAAAACAAATGCATACGAGTGGAGATGGGTGCTTTCAGCAGGAGATAAAGCTGGAATGGCCAGATGGGGTTGTGTGGTGAGGAACAGTGATTCCACGCCAAGGAGTGTGGTCTTTATTCTGCAAGCATGATAGGACATGAAGGATTTTGAAGCAGGAAAGGAACAAACCCACAGGCTAAGCCTTTTCACGGACAGTACTGCCAAAAAACTGTTGCCTGTTATGTGTATATAGGACAGTGGGAAGTAGCTTGGTCACCTAAACATATATAACCACAAATTAAGAAACTATTATAAAGTTTGATAAAAATTAAGCTATACATTAAAAATGAGCCTTGACTACAAATTTCTTATTAAAAGACATAAAGGAATTTCATGTGCTATACTAAAGAAATTATGTTTATATGCAGTCCCAACTAAAAATCTACAGGGTAAAAACTGGCAACTACTATAATTATACAATAATTACATAAGTGAAATTTTTTTCTCAGCAAAATAAAGTTCGGCTGGAATTGAATGATTATTATTATGGTGTATACCTATGTAGAATTTGTGCCCTCAAGTATAAACTAAACACAAATCTGTGAGCAAAGGTGGTAAGTCTGGGTAAAGTCAGATTTTGCAAATCACCAAAAAACTGAAAAGCAACTAGCCTTAAACTGTATTTCTAAAAAGTGTAGAGACCAACAAAAGAAACCACTACAACAACAAAACCCATAAATTAGGAACAGATCGTTTGTTCCCTTCTCCCGCTCGTTTCTTTTTCTGTTGACAGTTCTTTTTCAGCATTCCCAGAGAAAGTTTAGAAATCTATTCCAAGAGCCACCCCCCATTTTACTTTAGCAAAAGGAAGCTGCAAATAGTTCTACAGAAAATCCCCATATATAAACCAGATGAGGAAGCAAACAAAAAACACAAAAAAACAGATGAAAGCAGAGCGCTCTAGGTGACAGAGGTCAGGGAGACAAGAAGTCAAGGAGAATCTAACCGTAGCCTCCACTTCAACCTTCCCTCTGAACTAGCTCACTTAATTTTCTCCATAAAGTATGAAATGCATTGGTCTTGAGCAAGCTTTCAAGTTACAACTGGGCCCTAGAGTTAAAAGAGTTGGCTGAGAAAAAGGCTTCTTTACCTAGTACCTCTGCTACAATTAAAATACTTTCTCTTCTTCTTAAACCCAAATTCAAATGTCCGAGCTAAAAATTGTTTCTTATAAGTTATTCTACAAAAGCTTGCCATATTTTTAATTCAAATTTCCATTCAAACTTCACAAAGGTCAGCAAACACGCATTTAATAAGTGCTTACATAGGGCCAGCTACGCTGCTAATGGTAACGCTTTGCTCCCATTCAGCCACCACAAGCCCCAGGAAATCAAGAAACTAAGCTCAGAAACGTACTGTGCCCTGCCGAGGACACTAAAGCACACTAAATCAGACCCTTGCTTTTTTTTTTTTTTGTCTGCTTCAAACTTTTTAAAAATTTAATTTTTTATTAGCTCATATTTGCAGTGCATATGGTTACATTTGTCATGGGGACTTGGTTCATGCACATAATACATCTTACTTCTTTGTTTTCTACCCCCTAATCGTCCCCTCCCTTCCTGATCTTTCCAGCTCTTGGTCCCCTTCCCATTCACAAAAGTTCTATTTTCATCATTTTTCCCCCAATTCTTTTCCATCCCTTTTCCTGTCCCTCCCTTCCTCCATGTCTTGTCCTTGCACGCTTTCTAATCCCGACGTTTCTGAATGTCTGCCAGTCTTTACACAGGCTCCCACCAATGTAAAACTTAAAACTGTAAAGGTTCCCGGTCATTTCACCCAAGGTGTACTCCGCGTGCAGAGGGGGTTGAAGTGACTGTCGTGATCAGTTAGAGAAGAGCATGAAGCAAAAATAGGGCGCTCTGGCTCCCAGACTGGGAGAGAAGAAACTTCTGAGGGAGAGACAGTGAATGGGAATGGAGCCGGGACAGATACTAAATCATCGTTAATGGAAAGAGAAATGTCAAACTTGGGACCATCCTCTGAAAAGCGCCCGTAGGCATCAGGGAGGACAGCTCCCAGGCATCTGCACAGGTCCTAGGCATCCGGGAGTTTGAATTTCGAAGAAAGCTCCTGCGGGCGCTCCAGGGTGGGGGTCCCGGCGGTTGGGATCCGGGACGTCGGAGCCCCACCCCCACACGCCCCTTACCTTCTGTTGGAAGTAAAGAACCGAGTAGTTCTGGACTACAGCGGGGCGGGACGTGCGGCTGGGTAAGTGTAGGCTGCCCAGGATTCTCAGTGCCGGCCGCAGGGCGACGGAGTTCCCGGGAACCAGGGCAGCGAGAAGCAAGAGGAGGAGGGCTGGGCGGCCCATGGCTCGCGCTGGCGCTACTGAGCCCCGGGAGGGCAGGAGCGACGCCGCAGAGGCGCAGCCGA